TAGAATGCAACTTTGAGTTTAGATACATGTATCTAGGAGTAAAGCATGTTTCATATATAGCAACATTACTGTCCAATGACTATAGGCTAAATGTTACTTTGTGAGGATGAATGAAATATAACATGGTAGACTTCTTATACATGCTACCATTGGCTTTAATAGGTATATTTTACACTAGAGGGGCTTTGACCATTGGTCTACCTTTTCATTAACACTCATAAAAACAGCATTTTTAAACTGATTCATAAATTAGTCACTCAAAAAAATTAATGCAACGCCAAAGCACAATAAATGTGATGTTGACATTTAATTTAAAGTCAATAATTAAAATATATATTATCCTTTACTCATACAAACACTTGCTGTATCTACTACTTGGTCATGGAACCTTTATACTAAACCTTGTCTTTTCATAACATTTCACCAAGAAGTCCTGAGCTCTTGATGAAACCTGGCAACTTTCTTACATGGAGTTTTGAAGATTTCTATTTGTTTAATATTTGTTTTACCAATAGTATATTTGCCTTATGTCACTAAACATCTCATATTCACTAAGGTAGGTGTTTTCTCAGTTGACTCCATTTCTATCTCCAGATGAGCTGTCCATTATCATATCTGTGACATCTTCAGTTCTCATGTGTTAAGATTCATTTCTTCTTCAGATGCAAATCCACTAATGGATGTTAGCAATCCTACATTTTTCCATTAACTCTCTATTTCTTGCAATATGTATCAGAGATTGTATGTCGTTTAATCCCTGTCCATTGCTTATGTTTCGGAGCCAGGACATTTTCTTGCGTCCCATTCCTCTCTTGCCTTCAATTTTTACCCTCGATTATAAGTTGGAGGAACTGGTATTTTTCATTTCGCATGATAGTGACCTAGATACACCGTTTTTCTTTTCTTGATGGTTTCGAAAAGTTTGGTGTTCTTGGTTTATTCTTTTAAGGACATCTATATTGTGTGATTTTCGCTGTCCATGGTATTTTTAGGATACGGCGATAAAGCCACATTTCGAAAGCTTCCAATCTGTTTATATCCCTAAGATTCATTACTATAGACAAAAGCTTCATGTCATTCATTTCTAATTGTTCTTGATATGAGTTTGTCCCTATATGGACATTCTTTTGTATGACTTCCAACCATTTTTGAATTTCATTTCTTACCACAGATTTAATGATGCTGTAGAATGGTTCTGGAACCTTGATTTGTTAGTGCTTCTGCTAATTTGTTTCATTGGAATATATATTGCACCTGCACTCACATGATAGAAACTTTTATCTCATTCTGTATATTATGGAAATTCTTATACTCTTTGCTTAAACACAATTCAAATAATAATAATATCTTATGACATTTTTGCCAGAGAGATCCTTTCGGATTGTTCTGGCTCCAGTTGAAAGTTGAGTCCAGTTCTGTCCCCTGAAAGGGTCTTCTCTTTTTCCTTCAATCATGAACTGAAGTATTTTGTATTTGTCTCCCCTCATGACATTCTCAATGTATGGTTTGTTCTTTGATTATTGACATCAATTCCTTGTTCTTCTGCATTCTGTTAATAATTTCGATGTTTGTTGTTCTATTGGTCCATGAAATACATGAAGTATTCTCCTATAATGGTACATTTCAAAAGCTTTGATGCATTTTTACAGTTGTAGAGAAGAATTAAGAATAGATACCAGTGCAGCATTCAAATTGGAAGTCTCATGTCTAGATTCCGCCAGAAGAAGTTTTTGATTTAGATAAAACTTCTTAGCTTGCTATATTCTTAATAGGACCTCTTTCATTGAATTGCAACTACCATTCGTTAATGTACCCAGGCATCTAATTGATGACAGCTGTTCAACAGTTTTGTCCTGTATTTGGAAGTCAGCTTGTGTTTGTAACTTGGAGAAAAGTTTAGTTTTGGTAATATATAGCCCATAACACTTACACAATACGTTTTTTGTAGTTCTGACAGGCTTCTAGCTAGAATGACTGTATTGTTAGTATATCTTGTATTATTAATTCTTTTGCTGTTGATTATGATTCATGTATTATTACCTCTGAGTATAAATTACACCTTTTCTTAAGGCTATCTCCTCTGAAATGTTGCTCTTCACCTTTACTTGATCTGTCTGATGCCAATAAAGTTCTGTGATGAATTTAACTCACCCTCATCTATACCCATTGTGATTATTTCTGTAGGTAAAATAAAATTGATTGAAATAAAAATTAAACAAAATAATGACTAAAACTAATAATTAATAGGTTGGTATATTGAACACATATTTCCAGAAATCCATAAATGTGAGAATGTCTCAATTGCAAGTCAAATGTTCCACATTTTTCCTTAACGCTTGAAAGATGTGTCAGATTAGAGGATGTTTACTGTATAAAAAATATATAATCTAATTAGTGTTCTATTTAAATAATGAACTTGTTAGCTAATTATTCAAGAAAAGTAATTATGACATCAATTCATTAGTAAATTATAATGAATTATTATTATAATTTGTTATGCTAAATTTTGTATAATATCAAAAAGCGGAACAACCTTATTATATTCCTTTTTTTACCATTAATTTTGTTTTTTCTGTTGATTTTGTCATTTGCTGCTTTGTCAAATCTATCCTCATCTTTTCGGGCGATACTTTTAAAAAATATTTAGTTCCTATTTGCATTTTTCTTTGTATTTAGCCCAGTATTCTTCAATTCTTATATTTTCATCAATTCTTGGTAGTTTTTGTATAAAATTTGCACGCAGTTATCTCTAACAGTTTCAGATTTTAGTATATAAGTTTTTTGTACCTTTCTTGGAGTTTAACATACAGATGTCAGGTGTTTCTTATTATGTAATGGTCAGCTTCTATACATACTCTTACATTCAATACATCAGAGAAGAGGAATGCTGAATCTCAAAGTGTAGATGATTGATTTGGTCCTTATTAGGTCATCCTCAGTTTAGGCCATGCAACTTTGTGGATGTTTTTGTGGAGAAAATGTGTAATTAATAACCACCATTCCCAACGATGAATCTCTTCTCATTCTCTTTATTAACCTGAACGTTAAAATTCCCTATCAGAAAAAATCAAGAAGAAATAAATCTTCATGGCTTAAGGTTTCAAACAAGGCAAAAAATTCAGACCATGGCCCGGATAATCATAAGAACTTACTGATCGTGAAATTCTACCTCCTCCTCCTCAGTCCTAATCCCTCTGTTGATGTGATGACACCATTTACAGTTTTTTCACATTTTCCCTCCATCCTTCCCTGTCCTGGGCTAGTTTTTCGGCTTCATGTAACCCTTTCCTTCAACTCTACCCTAACTTAACCTAACCTAACATGCGGCTGCATACCCACATTTCAAAAGCGTCTAGTTTATGTTTATATGCTTTCTTTAAGGTCCACGTTTCGGATGCATATGTGGCTATGGGAAAAATGTGTGCCCTTACCAGCCTTAGTTTTGTGTGTATTGTTATGCTAAATTTTTTCCAAATTATTACGTTTCATCATAGCTATTCTAGCAAGAGTCAACCTTCTATGTATCTCTCTGTCACACCCTCCGTCATTTGTTATTAGTGACCCCAGGTATATGAAACTATTTACTACTTCAAAGAACCCAATTTATTTAATGTGTTGAAGATTATTACGAGCTCTGTCTACTATCATGATCTTTGTCTTACTCCTATTTAGCTTTAGTCCATGTTTTGCTTTTCTCCTTCAGATGTCTCATTATGTCTTCCATTTCTTCTTGATTTGCCGCGATTATTAAAGTATCATTAGCATATCTCAAGTTACTGATTTTTTGACCTTCTATGTCTTTCATGTATTGCATGAAAGTGGATGTTGTCTAGTCGTTGGGCCACTCTCCGGTTTACCAAACCTTTTTGCAGATCATATGCATAACATTTACTCCAACATCTCCAGTCTCCTTTAAAACTTCTCTGGTGATCTGATCTGTGCCAGGAGATTTTCTATTTTTTAACTTCTTGATTGCTTTTTCTACCTCTGACTTTAGAATGTTTGGTATGCTTTCTGCAGTGAACTCGTCGTGATTTGAATTCTGGGGATCATCTGCATATGGACTTTGGCAATATTTTCTCCATACCTCCTTAATCCCTTTCTCATCATTTATAATATATAATATGTTGGTTTTGATCCGATATTGTTTGTGTGATTGGTTTGAATTCCCTGAATAGATATTGGACTTTGTTATATAGCTCATGGGATTCATACTGGTTTGCATGTCTCTCTAGTTCTTCGCATTCTTCATTTATATGTCTATTTTTATCATCCATACATTCTATTTTAATTTCTCTATTTAACCTTGCTAATTCGTTTTTCTTGCTGTCGTTTTGATATATGAGAGATTTGATTCTCCTTTGCTCTTCGAGAAGTTGCAGCGTTCTGTCTGTCATCCAGTGTTTTCTCTTAAAGATATTTTTTTCGGTTCTAGTTCATTCTACAGAGGTTTCTATGACATTTCTGAAACCTATCCACATTTCTTCTGGGTTGTCTTGTATGTTCAACATACTAGTTTCCTTTAATGCATCTCTAAATGTTTTCGGATTTGAAATCTCCAGGCGGTTTTGATTTTGGTGTTGTTCTTTTTACTTCATCTTGAAGCAAGCCCATAACAATTTATGATCGGATCTACATTCAGCTCTTGGTCTTGTTTTTACGTTTGTAAAACATGTCTTCCATCTGGTTCTAATCAATATGTAGACGATTTGGTTCTTGTATTCTACATTTGGGATGGTCCACATCGATAAACGAAAATCTACACTCTTACATAAACCACTGTTTTTAGTATAATATAAACATTCTATTTATTTACTTCTTCAAGTTACATATCACGTTATATTATCCAGGAAGTAGGTTATTTAATATATAACCAAATATTGTCCTCATAATCAAGCTGGTTTTTTGTATTTTTTATTCCTTATCACCAAAAATATTTACTGGATATATTATCATTACAGCGTAATTAAAGTATTCAATCTTATTTTGATTTGATAAAAATGTATATACCTATTATAATAATTCAAGTAAGTATGTGTTGCAGATAAGATCAGCATTTATCAAAGGTCCATATATTATTAACCTTGGGTATTAAATTGTGTTACTTTTGCCTTCGATATCTGACAATAATTTTTATTACATTGCATTCAGTTTATTTAAGAAAATTTGTAAAATAATAAATTGTTTATTTAATAAATACAATAATAAGATAGGAATTCGGTAAAAAAATCACTTTTTTAATGAATTTAACTATTTATTTGGATTATAAATTTTCCACAGATTTCTATAAATTAACTAAACTTCTCTAAACACGGTACATTTGAGTATTTTGTATCACAAATGATCCAATCATTTGAATGAACAATCATTTTGGAAGTAACTCAAGCGATCTAGTCATAACCTACCTAATTCCTTATTTTCTCAAGTCCAGGATATAACAAATGGTCAAGACATAGCTAATTTATTTTAGAACTTCTTCCAAACTGTGTATTCACCAAATAACAACCTTTACGTATCTATCCATCCATTAAATAGCAACTTAAGTACAAATATTAGTCATTCTAACATTACCATGAACGATATTTTTAATGGCATAAATGAGTTGCCCAATAAGCTTACTGCTGGCCCAAACGGAGTGCCACCTTTTTTTATGAAAAAAGTGTTTCTGTACCCTTGTAATGCCGTTTCTTATATTGTTTAATAGATCTCTGGAAACCTCTATGTTTCCTTCTTCATGAAAAGAAAGTTATGTTGTTCCTATATTTAAAAATGGACAGAAAGACAACATTGAAAATTATCGTAGTATTTGTATACAATCTGCAATCCCTAAGCTCTTCGACTGTCTTATAGCAAAGCAACTTTTTTGGTTATGTAAGGCTTAATCTCTCAATCATAACATGGCTTTCATAGCAAAACATCCACTTCAACAAACTTGGTTTGCTATCAATCTGATATATTATCTCTAATTGATAATATATCCGCACTGAGTCATACCGCACAGCCGGAGCGAAAGTGTCTTCATAGTCTATTCCACGTTCTTGCATAAAACCGCGTGCAACTAGACGTGCTTTATAATGAACAGGATTACCGTCTGAGTCAGTCTTAACACGATAAACCCACTTATTGTCTATCACTTTTGTACCAAATGGGCAATTTCACCATGTCCCATGTGTTATTAAACTTGAGGGCATATATTTCCTCCTGTATTGCTTGTGGCCACTTGCTAGAGTCCTCACACTTTATTGCACTTTCATAACTTATGGGTTCAACTATATCACAGGATCCTCATCATCATGATCTGTTGCTTGAGACCTACTACCTTGTGACATGTCTAAACTCTCTTCATTGTCACATTTTTGAATATTGTACATGTCATCATTGTATTTTTTTTTTTCATTATCATCTAAGAGTTCAAATTTTAATCTAAAGATTTCCTTCTTATTTTTAATTGTTTCATCTTCATTAAAATTTACATTGCAGCTCACTTCAATTTTTTTCTTCTCACAATCCCAAAGTCTATAATTTGATGAATATCCATCATATTCAACAAACAATAATTTTCTTGATTTTGAATCAAACTTCTTCCGAAACTGTGATGGTATCAACATGTAAGCTGTACTGCAAAAAACTCTGATGTGCTTTAGATCTGATTTTCTCCTAAACACACTTTTCATATGGAGTCATGTTTTGTACTTGACTTGAAGCTGTTCGATTAAGAACATATACAGCAGTATTTTACAGCTTCAGTCCATATTTTTTGTACTTTGAAAAATAAGGCTATTATCGAGCACAAGTTAATTAAATCTAGCCCAAGTATTTCGCTTAAAATAGCATCTTCAGGGGCATCTGAAATAAGCCAAGAAAACGTTTTTTAGATGAAGAAAATTAGTTAACTTCGATAAAAAAAAAAAAATTTATCGAAGTTAACTAATTTCCTTCATCTAAAAAACGTTTTCTTGCTTATTTCAGATGCCCCTGAAGATGCTATTTTAAGCGAAAGTTACTGGGCTAGACTTAATTAACTTGTGCTCGATAATAGCCTTATTGTTCAAAGTTCATTTATTCGAGCATTTCAACCTCATTTCAATCATAATTTTTGTTGACACATTTTTGTTGAGAAGCATAGTTCTCGCACTTTCAACAATTGTCCGTAACTGCCTCTCACTGCGGCCATTTTGTTGAGGTGTATAAGGCGCTGTACATTCAGGTAACTTAGCATTCTTCCTGAAAAAGTCATTATTGATATATTCTCCTGTAACTTGGTTACTTCTTAATCCTAATCTTATTGCCAGTTTGATTTTCAATCAGTATTTTAAAATCTTTAAACTTGTTGAGAACATCTGACTTGTGCTTTATAAAATAAACACTGCAGTAACTGCTACAATCATCTTTAAATAAAACAAAATATTTTGATCCACTTGGAGAAGAAATGTTTACTGGTCCACATTCATTTGTGTGAATCATTTCACCTGGTTTGTCTGATCTGCTTCTTGTAAGACTTTTATGGGACTTTCTTGACTGCTTCCCATACTGGCATGTCTCACAGAAAAATCTTCTTTGTCGTCAACTCCCATATTGTCTACCAAATTAGCTCTTTTCTTAATTGTAGTGAAGTTAATCTGCCTAGGCGACCAAGACATAATTACATTTTACAATGGCCTAACTCTAAATTGCATGACCCACAGATTATCTCTATGTACTCCAACATATGAAATGTTTCCATTTGGCTCTAGAAATTGACACCTGTTTTTATGGGAATGATAGGTAAAGTTTTATCTGTCATAGCTCCCACTGAAAATAAGCTGTGACTAAGTTCAGGAATGTATTCGCTCCGTGCGTGACCATGGTAGGGGTACATTGAAACGATGCCAGCGTGCGTAGCGGCGAAATATGACAAAATTGGAATATTGGATAAACTATTTTTACGCATAAGTTTTATCAAAAATGTGTGCAAATACATGTTGCGTATTTAATTCTGCTAATAATAGCAAAAACAGTGAGTGTTAGTTTTTATAGGTTCCCAAAGATTACATATAAATTAGAGAAAAGAAAAAGATGAATTCGTGCTATTAATAATATGAAAAAGTTAAATATCACATAATTTCATTTTTATGCAATTGAAATAGGAACAATTTAAATAATTTACCTTGAATGATATTTCATAAGGCTTCAAGCTAACTGCAGATGACTTTAGCTTTTATATCATAGCTTTTACTATTTTTGTTTTTAATTATATGCTCTTTTGCATGAAAAACTTGATTTGCCAGTACTAGATTTTTCGCTTTCTTTTCCGTTTGGAGTTGAAAGATATATTATGATGAATTTTGAGAAACTCAGTTTTTAATACTACATTTATTTTGTACATAAACTGAAAAAATATATAGTTAAAAAACTAATTTTATGAATAATTGTCAATTTCGCATGTATTTAACAATGTCAAACATATTTCATATATTTAACCTGAAAATTGGGACCAAAATTGTCAGATGAAGGTGGTAGGTGTCGCATCAGTCACGCACGGAGCGAATAGGACATTATTTATGGTACAATCATACCACTCACCTTGGATAAATGCCTGTATTTCAATAACACCTTTACTTTCTGCAGGAATCAGCTTGTCGTTTGCTATTCTAACAAACATAGGTTCAGATAAGAGATTCTAATTTTGAAAACAATTTTTCACCAGTCATGTGTAGGCTTGCTCCTGAGTCACATATCCACTCACTTTTATTTACTCTGGAGGTTGACAAGTACATGGAAGAAATATCACACATATAAGCTGAACTTGATGCTAGATTACTTCCTGATGACTTGTTTTTATCTTCATTTTTGGAATCATGTATATTAAGCAAATGAGCTAATTTGGTTCTGTATCCCAAAGATATATCATTTGCTTTGTACCATTACTTTTAAATTCGTTACAGAGCATAATAGCACTAAATAGCACTTTATAATAATGAACAGACTGGCTTTAATATTTACCTAATTTTATAAACTTAATATTTTTCATTTGTTTTCCAGGTGCCTACATAGACCTTAAATCTGTCAAACCTAACGTGTCCACAACGGCAACCTTAAAATCACTCAGTATGTCCAACTTAAAAAGTGACGCTATCTTTGAATTTATTATTGACCAAGTCAAGGCTGATCCCGGCAAAGCCAAATCTGTTGGTGGAGTCTTCTTGTACAATATTACAAAGGATGGCAAACAAGCCAAACAATGGAGTAAGTTTATGTTTTAGTATGGATAGTAATCAAATTTTTGTGATTGGCATATTGTTTTTCTATATTTTACATTATTCCAGTAATACTGAAATTAAAATACTCAAGTTAAAATTGATTCCACGTAATCGAATGAAACTAATATAAAAAAAGAATATTTCATTGTTTTATTTTGTGATAATTAACATTTTTTTTACTTAGGTTTGAAAGATATACAGAGTGGCCCAAAAGTCTGGAAACGGCTATTTATCTCGTAAAATTCTAATCATAATTGTACAAAATTTGAGGCACACCTATTTTGGGATACAGAGATTCCATATTTGATATTTACAATGTTGCCAGATTTGCCGTTTTTCTTATATTATTAGTAACTTTGGTTTTTCAAATACATAGCCCTGTATATTCAGTTATTATTGGAATCTCCTATTCACTACGAGTTCAACCATATGTAACACTTATGATTTTATGTAATCTGGAAGGTCATAAATACATAAAACCGAAGTCCGGCAACGCCTAAATTGTTTCAATAAATTTTTTAATACTAACTATTTTCACATACATTAAAATGTAACAATTGATAGTTTAGAACATTTTTTAACTAGTAGTTACGTTATTAAGTGTTCAAAATGTGCTTAATTTGTGAGTTGACAGCATCCTAATCGATGGTAGAAGGCGTCTACCACATTTCTCCATGATTGTCTAGAAATTATTCGAGATTCATTGATAATTCGTTGCCTTAGCTCTGCAAGACTTGCTGGTTAAGTTTTGTAAACTGAATTTTTCAAGTATACCTAATAAAAATAATCTTTGGGATTGAAATCGGGTGAACGTGGAGTCCATTCAATTCTACCTTGTCTACCAATTTATCGTCCAGGAAATATCTCATCTAAATATCGCCGAACATTTACACCAACTTTCTGACGTTAAATTTCTTTTGACAAAAAATGACCCAATTGAATAAGTAACTACTATATATCTGATCATACATTTCATTTTTGTGGTCTTTGAGTATGGTTTTCACGCATTCAGTCTTCAGTGTGAATTTACGTCACACCGGTACCTTAAATTGTGTCGATTTACACTTCCACACAGTGTAAAAGTTGCTTCATCAGATAAACATATTCTGTTAACGAAAATTTTAATAATTTTCAATTTTATCCATCATTACCTCAGTAAACTCTAATCTACGACCAAAGTCATCTTCACTTAATTCTTGCAATAAGTTAATTTTGTATGATTTAAAGCTTATTTTTACGTAATAAACGTAAGACTGAAGAATGACCTACATCATGTACTTGTGCAACCCTGCCTGGGGATGTATGTGGATCTTCAACAAAACTTTGCTTATATCTGAAGTTTTGTTGTCATTGATAACTCGTTTCGGTCAACCTGATCGGTATCTATCTTTTACTTCTCCAGATTCCTCAAATCGCCTTACAGTTTTTTGTACCGTCGTCTTATGAATAGGAGAACGGTTTAGAGAACGGCATTTTAGAGAAGCAATTTAAATTGCAGAACTTTTTGAACCACAACTACTGTCAATTTTAGTTCATAATTTAAATGGTGAACAAATGTCAATATGGTTGAACTCGTATTGAATAGCTGAACTCGTGTGAAATTTACACTGAATGCGTGAAAACCATACTCAAACACCACAAAAATTAAATGTATGGTCAGTTATAGTAGGTACTTATTTAATAGGGCCATTTTTTATCGAAAGAAATTGAACGTCAAATAGTTGGTGTAAATGTTCGGCGTTATTTAGATGAGATATTTCCCGGACGATAACTTGGTAGACAAGGTAGAATTGAATGGCCTCCACGTTCACCCGTATCTCAATCCTAAAGATTATTTTTATTAGAGATGCTTGAAAAATTCAGTTTACAAAACTTAACCAGCAAGTCTTGCAGAGCTAGGCAACGAATTATCAATGAATCTCGAATAATTTCTAGACAATCATGGAGAAATGTGGTAGACGCCTTCTACCATCGATTAGGGTGCTGTCAACTCATAAATTGAGCACATTTTGAACACTTAATAACGTAACTATTATGTTAAAAAAATATTCCAAACTATCAATTGTTACGTTTTAATGTATTTGAAAATAGTTAGTATTAAAAAATGTATTGAAACAATTTAGGCGTTGCCAGACTTCTGTTTTATGTATTTAAGACCTCCCAGACTACATAAAATCATTAGTGTTACATATGGTTGAACTCGTATTTAATAGGAGATTCCATAATGACTGAATATACAGGGTGATGCATTTGAAAACCAAAGTTACTAGTAATATAAGAGAAACTGAAAATCTGGCAACATTGCAAATACCAAATATGGAATCTCCGTATCCCAAAATAGGCGTATCTCAAATTTTGTTTAATTATGTCTAGTGATTTACGAGATAATTAGCCGTTTCCAGACTTTTGGGCCACTCTGTATGTTAAATGAAACACAGTTGCCGTGTTTAACATTTTATTAATAAATCATTTTACTTTTAGCCATGGATTTGAAGAATGCTAAGGTCTTTGAAGGAAAACCTGATGGCAAACCCAACACAACCTTAACCATCTCAGATGACGATTTTATGCTCATGGCCGAAGGAAAACTGAACCCTCAACAAGCTTTCATGAAGGGAAAACTCAAGGTCACCGGAAACATCATGTTGGCACAAAAGTTGGCTCCTTTACTTAAAACCAACGCTAAACTGTAAACATTAATTTAAATTAAGTTTAAAACGAATGTTTCTGTTCTACTATCTTTTTTATACGTTGTGTCTGGTATAGCAATGAGAGGTGATTGTTAAAAGTTATATTTTTTGGTTAAACTGTTATCTTTATTTTAGCAGATTTTTACTATTTTTGTCTTAAGGGAACTGATGTTTTATATTACACATTTTATATATTACTTGAATATATAAATTTAAAATAAAAGTTTTTTTATTTACCTGTACGTTGTAAACAAAATATACAGGGTGTTTCAAAAAAGGTAACCCCGTCTCTAGGGTAGATAAAAAACTGAAAAATAATTGGGGTTTGCTTAGTAAAAAAAATTTGTAACGCTATTCGTTTTCAAGATACAGGGCGTTGAAGAAAAAAAATTTACGCATTTTTTACGCTTTTGCCGAAACTACTGGCAACAATGTAATGAAATTTTATACGAATATGTTTTGGAAGCTGATACATCCCATGAATTTGTTTTTGTATCTGATTCTCATAGAGGGCGCTAGTTACACGAATCGTAGAGACGAGATTACCTTTTTTTGAAAGAACCTGTATACCGAGTTGATCAAAAATTGCTTAAAGATGAAATAATGGGAAATCTATGTAGCACAATGAGCGTTGTGTTGAGCAGTGGACGTTGGGCCTAGTCGTCTCCTCTTACAAGACATCATAGTTCGTCATTGTATGACGAGCCATTTGACATTTGTCGCGTGAAAGAAGTAGAAGAGCGGTCGCCATCTTTGTTTTGATACATTATTGTGTTGCATACCTAGTCCCATAGAGAAATACCTAGTCCTTTTTACACTGAGCTACGTCTCCCTGTGATACACTGTTTAGGTGTTACTGTGTGGAAGAAGAAGAAAGAACAACCTACATCTTAAATTTTTCTAAGTAGTTGCATTGATGAACCCTATGATGTGACATGCCACACAACTTTGTACGTTAAGACGTTCAGCAATCACGTCCTTTTTGGCATGGTGCGATATACACGAGGTATATGAAATTGAACCCCATTTTACATCCCTTTTCTAACGAGGTCTCATACGTCACCCAACTAACTGGCCTTTGGCATTTATCGCGTGAAAGAAGAAGACTTGACAGACGGAAAAGAAAACTTGACAGACGGAAAAGAAGAGTTGACAGATAACTTGAAAGATGAAACAAAAGAAGACTTGACGTTGACAGATGACAAACGAAAAGATCTTAGCTAAGGGTAATGCAGATTCAAACTGTATTGCCAATGTCCGGATAATTATCCGATTTTCGGATAATTTCGTGGACCATCGGATAATTTTCGGATTGAACAATTTTTTGAATAATTTCGGATAATTCAAGGGTCTATCGACTTTTTATTTTTAAATATAATTTAAATTTTTTATAAGCTTAAATAGCTAAATTTGCGAATGTACATGGAACTGCAAATTCTATTCTCATATAATCGAAGATGATGGAACCTATGAGTTATTTCAGCACCCTCTGTTGATAAATAGTATAGTTTTGGTTGACTGTTTTACTGAACAAAAATCCAGCGATCTTTTAAATTGACAAAACAAAAATCGAATTTCATTTCAATCCAAGTCTAAAATGTCGAAGTAGTTAAGTAATTCCCCTGTGGCACTTTCTCTATACTTTGCCGATTATGTATGTAAACAATAAGTATTTTTAATATAGGTTTTAAGAGTTAATAATTTGTTAATTTGCTGTATTTATGTATTATTTGTTGTTTTTTTATGTAAATAAATATATTTCTATCAAACTAAACTTGTTTTCTTGTCATCATTTGTCATATTAATTGTCATTTGTCATCTACCAATGTGTCACTGTCAACTGTCAATGTCAATTATGCCATTTAATTAGTCTTCTTTTTCGATTTTTATGGATAATCGGATAATTTCGGATATTTGGTTTCTAACATTCGGATAATTTCGGATATTTTGCTCTCAACATTCGGATAATTTCTAGTTTTGCATTGGCAACACTGCTGTTTGGTGTTTGACTCAAGCGACCCGTATTCTGCTGAAAAAATCCAATCAGTAGTACCTGAAAATCAAATAATAAGTAAAATAACTCGCTCTACCATTCAAAATTTATGCTGAAGCTCACGCCTCATTCTCCCTTCAAGAAACGCAACTAATTGCTTTTCTTGAGAACACCCTCGGTAATTGTGACCATTTAGTGGAAGCGTACAAATTTACTATAGATATTTCCTTTCTCCTACAAGACTTAATAAACTCTATAACGCTTCTAATGAATGTTCCTTAAAAACTCATCTTCAGAATAAAATTAAACGCAAACTAGAAAAATAAAAAGTGATCACTGAATACATATATTTTAACATTCTAGTTCGTATATGAATACTAATATCACGATTACAAAATAATTTTGCCATTTTTATAAAGGTAGACCCGGCAATTTCAATACGTCTTTTTATCTCGTGATTTTGGTCACCTGTTTCATTAATGAGGGTTCCCAAGTATTTGTATTCGCTTACTTTTTCAAGTTGGGGTACCGTTTATTGTGATACTGGTGTCATGAATTGGATTCTTACTGAAGGTCATATATTTGGTTTTTTTTGACGTTCATCCTTATGCCGTAGTTATTACATATCTTATTCATACTTTCAACTAGATGTTGTAGACCTTCCGCTGTTCTTGCCATTATCACAGTATCATCAGCATATCGAATGTTATTGATAATTTCTCCATTGACTATTAAACGCCGTCTTATTATATTCCAAATTTTTTTCCTTCTACTTGCCTAACTATGCTGGTAGTTATGGGTTTTTACGATCTGCTTTTTTTAAAAACATTAACATTATTGTTATTTTCCTTTCGTCCGGTCTAGTTTATACGATTTTCTAAACTAGTAGTTGGATTTATTTTATAAAAACTATTTTCGGTTTCAAAGTTATCCCAGCGCTTTTTTTTCCGGTTATTTTTTGACGAGATTTAGGTAAGCAATACACATTTTAATAAAAAATATAAATTTTATTTCTTACAACAACGAATATAAAACAAAAATTATTCAAAATCACATCCTTTATAAACACCATTTTCGAGACAATATTTAACAACAGCTCGCCAACAAGGATCGCTGCACAACAACTTGGGATTTCCTACGATGAGCAGAAGTGATTTAGCTCTCGAAATCGCGACGTTTAATCTTTTGGGATGTGCAACGAATCCTAAGTTGTGAAGAAGATCCGAAGTGATAAAATCTTTAGATGAGCGTACCGTAGATATAATGATGATGTCGAATTCTTGACCTTGAAATTCTTCTATAGTTCCGATTTTCGGTACTTCAAATTCTGCTTCCGTGAAGACTGTCCGTAATTCCTTAGCCTAAAAAATTAACGAAATTTACTATTTTATAGCAGTCTCTAGGTTTATTATTGGAATTAGTAATAAAATCACAGTAAGCTGACTTTTTAGTATTTTGTACAGCCCAGATTTAGCCATATAAAGAGTATAATAATATAGATTTCTCTAGAAAAGACAAATTAATGTTTAGACAGTTGTATTACTAATTGGCTATTATGCCTATATTATTTCTTTGCGAAAGTTGAAGAAAATTAAAAGAAGATGAACTTTCATAATATTGGTTTTATATGGCGGGAAGCAATTTAACAGCTAAAGGCGATATAGGTGTTTCTTTTTTTCATAAATTAAAACAAAACCATAACAAGTGAGAATCACTTTTTAAATTTTATTAGTTCTAGTTAACCGTTATAGCAATTAAGTGCTAGGGACTTATACAGGGCAGTCCACAAAAGTTCCTATCTGTAAGAACATTGTAATAGTAGTTATCTACTAGAAACTGAAATCTATAACTTTCCCAACGAACTTTATGACATAAAAAAAACTTTCAAGCTCATTCCGAGCAAATTTATTGTAAATATTAGTATTTTTGTGACGTCAGTTACACTACAAAAAAAGTCATAAATATAACATTTGTTAAGTTGTATGAGCTGTAAAGCCTATTTATATCGGTTAATTTCATGGACGTATAAACACAGATGGACTCAGTTATTTACATAAAATTGTGAAGTCAAAATTATTTGAATAGGTCACATTCTCAGCACCTTCAACTGTTGTCACGTTTTTTTATTAAAATTTCTTATTCGCGAGCCACTGAAAATATTACTCCGTATTTTATACTCTACAGGTGCTATCAAACCAAAATAATAATTTATTGTTATATTAATATATTTAATTGTAATCCAAATATCAAGTGTGCACATAGTGTGCATTATCATTTAATAATAGCGTACAATAGATACCAATCAATTATTTTATATGTAGAAGCACTGAAAACTATTTATAAATGACAACGGTGTTTACACTTCTCTGTTTTATGGCCTACGTCAAACTTCAAATGCATGTTTGTTTACTTTTTACAGCAGATGAGGAAAAGTTGTTTTTCGATATTTTGGCTGTATTTTGTGTGATATTTGTGAAAAGTGAAATAAACATATTATAATAATGGTACTACAGTTTTGCATTTGCAAAAAACGAAATATTTACATCCCGATCTCTCATTTCATTTGTAAGTACTGTCTGTTTACATTATTTAAGATAAGGAACTGGCGTGCCATTGGGTTTATTCATGTTTATTAACGTATTAAAAATAAGATATGAGTTTATGAAATTGGTATACATTTTTAAATTGTAAGTAGACATCATCTGATTAAAAAATATCTGTTTAGTACCTTTTTAATTTAATATTTCTCATGGATACAAATAAATTAGTGAAATGAATAAAACTCATTTATTTTTCTATGTAGGTTTCCAAATAATATTGACAATCGAACTATTTGGGTAGCAAATTTAGGAGAAAACATAAAGATTTTTTATTGTAGCATTATTTTGATACCTATTAAAGATTAACTTGAATTCAATTATATTTTATTGTATTAATTTTAAAGCAAATAAAATTGTATTTAAATTTTTCTATAAAGACGTGATTTGTTAATAGTTAAACTCTCGTTTTTTTAATTTTCGAACGTATTTTTATACATTATTACTACTTCCAATTTTTAAAGTCTGAATAATTATCCCCGCGAGTAAAAATTCAAGCACGCTTATGGTCATTGAGGAAGCATCACATTCTATCGAAGCTTCAAAACATTGTGTGTTAAAGGTATCGTATTGCTGTGTCCATCTGTGTTTATACGTCCATGGTTAATTTGTTCCAAGAGTAACTGTGTAATTCAAACCGATATTTAAAAATATCGGTTTGAATTTTGTGATGTGATAGCGATCGCCATATTGTTAGACGCCTTGGACAAAATCATCTCCAAAGGTCTCAGTAATGTTTATTAAGTATGTAATATGAAAATTACAAAACTATGACTAAAAATAAAGTATTCTCTGAATCATCTTGTATACTTATCTTGTCTGTATTAAACTATGAACGATTTTTATAGAATTTTGTGCAAAGTTTGGTAAAAATGAGTTGTTGTGAAGAACGACATACACGAGTTTTTACGGACAGATATTTTTTAATCGGGCGGATCTGTAAAAACGTTGTTTCAGTTGATTGTTCTGAAACGGCACACAATTTTTTGCTGAAATAGATTCAGAATAACTTGCATACCAATAAGAACTACTATTTGAGAATAAGGAGGATCACTTACTAATTATTGTTCTGCAAGTTATGCTTTATTTTGAAAGCAAAATTTTAAAATAACGCTTTGTACTTCATAGTGAGATATTAAAAATTAATTATACTACAGCATACAAAGGTACACTACTCTATTCTTTATAAATACTAAAATAATTAACTAAAAACGCCTAAATAGGTTTTTTATGGATATATTACTTACAGAGTGTAAATTTTATGATATCGTACTTTCAAAATAAAAGTTTCAGTATCTACTATTCTGTAACTCTGTAAGTTTCAGCATGACCACTTGAAAATTCAAACCGATAACATTCCTATTAAATTTTGTGATAATCTGCCAAAGTGTCGTACAAAGTAATTGATATGGCAACCCTGTTAGTATGACATTTCGTTTGAAGAGTTTCGAAGATCTCCCAACATTACAATTTGAAAGCGGCAGTTAAAGACATAATTCTTATTTAACGAGATTTTTCATGTTTAGGAAAAAAATATGTAACGTTTTATTGCAAATATTTACCACTTTTACAGTTTTATATATTTTGTTATTAAAAATTTTTTCGGTTTCTTACCGGCTTTATTATAAGCCGAAACATATTATTTTTTCCTATTGGGACAAAACTGTACATTCAAAAATTTTCAAAAAATTCATAAGTATTTCTTATAATTATATCTTGATGCTGTAAAAAATTAACAAAATCCTATGTTTGGTTTTCCCGCTTTATACTTGTAAAAAAGTATTTTTTTTTAGTTTTTTCAAAAACGACACGTGAAGTTTGCTTAAAAATTGTCAAAATACTTCTAGTCATCACATACACCTTCTCAAATTTATTCAAATTTTTTGAATTTGGAGTTTGTCTTTTGGGGGGTGCAGATCAACCTTAATAAAAGTCATGTTTTGCAACGTATTTCATTACATACCTGTTTAATATAGGGAGTGACGATACCTATACCACTAGACTTTACCCCAAGTCTGTAAAATTGATTAACGTAATAAAACACCTGGGCCACTTCATGGGGATTGTACCAAGATGGGGAGTCTGCTGTTTGATAGTTTTCACCAATTACTCCATGGAATATGATTCGAGTTAGCTTATCACCTTTGCTTGGTAAAAACTCTTGAAGTGAAGTTAGTAGTTCTGCTTCCTTACTGGTTTCATTGTCAATCTAAAAAGTCAAACACATAGTTTCTCAATATATATAACACATAGTTTTGCTATAGCCTTTATAATATATGTCTGAATTGTCAATATGAATGAGTCAGATAATATTATATTATGGGAAGAAATTTCTATTACCAAGTACCAAAAACAAAATTTCTTTAATTGTGTTTTGGGAACGTTTTTCAAAGAGGAAAGCTTCAGAAAAATATTGAGTAAAGATAAGCTCTAAAGTAAACAAAATATACTTACAGTGGGTATCAACTCATTATGATAAAAGAGTGTGCTGTACAAAGTAAGAATATCCGGAAGGGCTCTGTAATTATACAATAATTTCGTTACAAATCTTGGATCAAATCCAGACGTTTCTGGAAATCCTTCTGGATCACGAACATACGGAAATCTATTCATAATTCGTTCCAAATAAGACTCTGCCAGTCCACATTCGGCGGCAACTTTAGATAATATAACGGGCCCTAGCTGCATAGGATCACCTAAAAAAATAGTATCAATAAACATGAGTAAATAATGTTTCTTAGCTCAATTTCATTTTTTCCTCTGCCCTGGCTAAGAATAACGATTTGACAGTATCATCCCTTAATGCTTGAATGCCTGCCTCATGGGGTTCCCTCAATCTAGAATACACTGTTTGGAGCGCCAAGTTGGCTTTGTTTATTTTGCTGGACATTGTAAGATAAAAGAAATGAAAAAGAGGACAATGCAAACAAAATTAAGCAAATCGAATACCAAAGAAATGCCCTGGATTTAAATAAGAGAAATGCGCTACTTGGTTTCAGACAAAATTAATCCCAAACACGTGAAGTATCGATAAAAAGGTAAGTAGAAGTCTTGAACATTTTTCCAAATATCTCTATTATCAAAGATTGTACAACACTTTAAATGTAACAAGTCTTTATGGACATTTAAAGCAAATGAAAACAAAGAAAACACTATTTATATAAAATTTATTGACATTTCTCTTTTGTATGAACTATTCCCTTTTACCAGGTTTACAAACTTTTAATACTAATAACTTATTACATACCTGCTAATACTATTTGGCCAGAATTTTTATTTAGAAAGGATAAAGGAATCATAACATCAGGTTCTCCAGCTTGTGCTGCTTCGTCAACAATTATATGAGTAAAATGACCTTTTGGAATGTTCAACAGGAAAAATTGTCCGGCACAATTACAGGTTGCAACAGTTATCCTACTTCGGCCTAAAGTAGACATATTGCTATCTGAAAAATAATTATTTGTGGTGATTAACAGAAATTATCACTATTTATAAACAAAAGTCATAATTAACTGTCATATAGACCTTTTAAATCCTTCTGTGAAACAAATAAAAGCTGCTTTTGAAACAAATTTCTAGTCTGCAAAAGTTGTCTTAAAATTCAATTTAGATGTATGTAGTTTTTAATATAGTTATTAGTTTTTAGCAGTAGTAAGCACTCTCTTAATGTAATAACAATCATTTTGTGTATTAAAGGTAAAATTTAGATGTATGTAGTTTTTAATATAGTTATTAGTTTTTAGCAGTAGTAAGCACTCTCTTAATGTAATAACAATCATTTTGTCTATTAAAGGAGGTTAAATAAATAATTAAAGGAATATATAAACAGATAATAACTTACTAAATTGTATTCCATTTGGATTATTCACTTCTGAAAGTACTGTATCTTCTCTAGCGAAGCTTGCAGTAGCACAATAGGGTATTAGCTTATCAGGAACAGTTTCTTTCAAAGCATAATTATATGAAATTAACCTAACAAGATCTCCTGGTAAAAGAACTCCTGAATCAATAAGCCTCAGAGCTATCAAATTTGCAGCACTGTTGGATGGTGCTGTTACTAATAATCTAGAGGAAGGAATTAATCGTATTAACTGTAAAATTGTTTCAACAAGAGTTATTGTTTTTCCAGTACCTGGAGGTCCAAAAATGATATACGGAAAAGGTCTAGTTGTACCCCAAAGAACATGCATTACGGCATTTTTCTGGGTCTGATTTAAATTTTTGTTAAACCATTCCAAAGTAACTCTTTCTCTTGTGTTTTCATTGCCAGAAGTGTTCAAACTATCATTCTCTTTGTATTCTTTCATTTTGGATAAGATAAAAGTCATTCTGTTTGGTTTTTTTACCATTGGGTGATGATAACTGTTCTTTTTCTATAAAATTTATTTGACGATCCTTTTCTATAATTCTGTTAGGGAATAGGAGCTCTGGTCCAAGATTTCTTATTGCTAGGCATGCAGCATGATGTAATTTTTTATATCCAGATCTACTAGCTTCTGCAGTTATTGAATAGTCTTCTCCATCATACTTGTCATGGAACAATGGGCTAAATTTGAGGAATACGTGGGTAGCACTAATTTTGTGTATGATTCCCTCAAAAACAACACCTCTACTATTACTTGGATCTGTAGCTCTAATTTTGTCTCCTATTGCAAGTGAAGGTCTTTGTTCTGATAGATTATCAATTTCAAGCATAAGGTACTCTCCATTCTTTATAAAACAAGCTTTTTCTTGATCATATTTTTTTATAGAAACTAACATGGAAATTTCATCTAAATACAGAAGAGTGTGAAACCTATCTTCATAATTTATGGGTGTTAAATTAGCTGTAAGGGATGGTTTAATGGACTGTATCTGCTGAATCTGTTTATCAATATTATCAGAAGAATTTAATGTTACAACGTCAATTAATTTTTTGGGTACAGTATAATTCGGTATATTTGAAACTGCAAAACGTATATTACTGCCTTGTCCCCTAATAACTTGACTGTTAGAGTTTACATATGGTGTGATATTCCTATTATTATTCTTAAAATATGTTGTTCTTTGATTGTTATCTTGTATTGAAACTAAAACATTTATATATTTGCACAGAACAAAATCACCAAAATTTAAAATATAAGATTCTTTGGCTTCTCCAATACTTTTTGAACTACATTCACATAAAATATCATGCTTATCACCAACACTCAAAACAATGTTTTCTACATTGTCTGTTATACCACACTGTGAATGATTTCCCAAAAATTTGGCACTTAATAATGTTAAATTATTCTCACCATTGTTAGTGATAGTTATCTTAAATGTTTGAGTCTCTCCTAACTTCTCGAAGTAAACATTCACATCTTGTACTTCTAACCCTGGATAATTCTCTGTATAATGTGAAATATCAGGTAATATACTGGAAACGTTTTCTTTTTTCAGTGTAAGATTTTCAGGAAGAACTTTTATAGCTCTCCAAGAATGCCCCATTTGAGTACTTTCGATAACTTGAGCCACAACTTTATCCCCTACTGCTGGTAAATAACCTAACGACAATGACAACTGATTAAAAAATATTTTACTATCTATAGTACCCATCTCTTTAGACTTGTTCCACATTGATACTTTTCCTGACAGAAGATGTAGTCTAACAGGTGATATCTTATTGATTTCTAAAACCTCACCAGCTAAATCGAATAATTTTTCATTTACTTTACATTTTACGTCTAGTTCTAGCCAATCACCTACAACTGGTAGGAATTCCAACTGAACTTTGTCTAAATCAAGAATAATTTCAGAACCAGTTAGATAAAGTTGACGACCAGCTCTTCGTTCAATTTGGCATGTTATTATCCGATTATACCATAATGAATCTGAATCTTCTGCTGCCCATTCGTTAAAAATTTCTACATTTGTTGCTTTCGTAATATTATCACTAGTAAAACAGTTAAACTTTACTTTCGTGCCTACCTCAATATTTGAAATCATGTTAGAACATACATATATATCATTAATAACAAAACTGTCTTTTCTTATATCAGTAATTACACCAGTCTCCGCAGAAACTCTGTTTTGGATGGTACTGCAACTGGGTTTGTTTTCAACATCTTTTTGCTTCCCTTCTTCATTCTTTTGTAATATTTTATAGGCTTCTTCCAAAGATAAATCATCTTCTGCATTATTGAAAAATAAAGATGATATATAATTACCCATAATCGCTATTTTGAAATAATGAACAGCTGAAATAACAATATTAAATCAAATACATATTTAAACTTAATTTAAACATTAAACAATATTATTTTAGGTTAGGTTTATGTTTTGATGTTTTGATACAAGGTTAGTAAAAGACAGGTTGCATGGTAACTATAATGACAGACTGAAATATGTCACCGTGACGTCACCAGGGGGTTAATTTTACGAATTGTTTGAGAACAGAACAGGATAAGTGGTTTGGAGAACATATTTTGTTGATAAATATCGTTAGTGTTTTTGTTTATGTTTATATCTTGAGATATAATGGGTCTATAGATATGTTTGAGTATTTTTACTTATATAACTTGAACCTAAAACTGTTATACAAGTTATACAAGTACATTTAGTGTGGTTGCGTTTAAATACCTACTTAACGGATTTTATTTCTGCTGTATTATATAGTAAAGGTAATTATAGTAAAGGTAGCTCATTGGCATTAATATAGGAAAATTTTTAACATAAACCAATTCAAATATTTTCTATTGATTTAAACGACTGGTGGAAATATTTGCAGGATAGCAATTTGCAAAAATAATTCAAATAAGTCCAAACAGGATAGAAGGAGTTTAATGATTTTTGCATTTCCAAAAAATGTAAAAATTCAAAAGCAAAGAAATTTCACATGAAAGATTATGAGCTATTTAGAAGTTAAACCATTAAACATACAACCTAAAAGCTGAAAAAAGATGGTGTTAATTAATTGACTTTGAGTTATTTTTGTGATTGAGTTTTACAAAATAAACAGTTTTACAAACAAATATTAATAATAACCTAGTTATAATTAAAGCTTTTAATTTTAGTAATTCCCTTGTTAATTCTACTGCCAAATGAAGTTGGCGTAAAAGAAATAAGTATGACATCAAAGAGCATGACCAGAAAAGAAAACATAGATTTTGCTGGACATATAATTCTAGAGAATACAATACTAAAGAGGAGCAGATAAAAATAATACACATTAATACTTCTACCCAACGTTTTGATTTACCAGAAAAACCTTCATATAACAAAAAACAGAATTAGGTATACTTAAAAAAGAATTAAGGAAAATGGAAGAAGAAAACGTAAAATTTCAACAGAAACTTCTAGAAAAATAAGATACTGAAGATAATATTAAATCATAGATTAAAGAACTTGGGACAACTAAACTGGAAAACGAAACTGAATTTGAGGAAAAAGCAAAACATATTTTTAAAGAATTTTTAGCTCCTAATCAACTACAGATATCATTAAAAAGAAAACAAAGGCTTGCCAGCCCCAAAAAGAATTATCAAGGGCTTTTAACCTAAAGGTACTTTAGTGTACTAAAGTACGTTTTGCACTCAAATTCATTATCCCCAATTCAAAAGTATGTACTCAAAATAATTTAAACAAGTCAATTGTATTCAAATATAGTATATTTGCATGCTTTAGTTACATAAACAGAAGAAAAAACCTACTTTTAATTTAATTTAGTTGTAGAGCTATTCGACTACACATATTTAGTTGCAATTATATTCTGCTATTTCTATACTCTGTACTTATCTCCCACATTTTTTAAAGATTGAATGAAATATATAGTCATTAATATTCCAAACCTATTTTTTTAATATACATAGAGTAATATATCTTCAATCATTACTGCTTCTCGCGTTCATTTCAAGGAGTAAAGTGAATAATTTTGAATGTAGCATTCTCAGTGACGTCATTCCCGCCATTGGATTCTCGAAGCTGAATGGTGTAAAGTTATCAGACAACCTGTCTATTTACTAACCTTGGTGTTTGATATATGTTTTGACTTCTTCTCTTTTTTTGGTCAGCTCATTGATAGATAAGCTATTCAGTTAATTAAGGTTTTCCAGGCGAAAATAGTGAGAAACCTCCAAAATTAACAAAATTATCTAGCTGAAAGACTTTAAATAAAGGATATTTCTCTCTACAAAATTATATTGAAAATTAAAAATTGAAATATTAAATTATCTGTATGGGGTGTGGGGGGTATGTTAATGCCACAGTTAAACTGAGTGGCATTCAAATGAACTAACGTATAACGATTATTTGACTAGATGGCAGCACATACATCATATTCTATTTTAATTTTTCCGAAATCTAATTCTCTGAACAGAGACGTTGTTGCCAAGGTTGCCAATGCCATGTACTGGAACTTACGTTCGGTACAGTTGGCTCTTATTTGGCAATATTCTTCAATGTAAGTTGACATTATTGTGATATTTACTGAATAATGAAGTTTCACAAATTCTAATTTTCGGATTGGATTCATTCCAAGTAATTTTTGTATTGTGTTGTTTATTTATCTCTGAGGTTAAATTAAATTTCAAGTACAAAAAACTTACTTTTGTATTAAATTATACAGGTGTAGCTACAGTTTGATTTGGTGGTAGAAATTCAACTAACTAGATCTATCTACGCAATTCTAATATGATTAAATGATACGCCCTACATTCCCAGACGAAAAAGTCGTAAAATTTAATTACCTCACACCAGCACTCAGGTGGAGAGACGATGCACTGATTAGGATATTTTTTAAGTAAACATATTAAGTAGTTACTTGACATTTATCCTACTATTCTTCGTCTTTGCGTGCCATATCAGAATTATTCGACGTTGGCGAACACCATTGCGAGTGCTTCTCGATCTTTTGCAATATGGAATAATTGTCCTGCATTTGGTATCTGAGTCCATTCACGAATGTTTTTTAACCAAGAAACTTGTTTTCTTCCTACACCTCTACGGCCCTCTATTTTGCCTTTAAGGATCAACTGTAATATTTTATATCGACTTCCCCTTACTAGGTATATGTCCCAGATAAGACATTTTTCGATGTTTAACAGTCTTTAGCAGTTCTCTATCTTTGTTGATGCTCCTTAGTACTACTTCATTAGTTTTCCTTGCTGTACAAGGTACCTTCAGCATTCGTCTATGAACCCCATTCATTTCATGAACGAAATTGAATGCTTCAATTTCGTTCATGATCGATACTTTTAGCGTCCACACTTCTGCACTATACAAAAGTACGGACCAAATATGGCACCTAACCATTCTTTGTCTTAGTTCTAAACTGAGATGGATATTGCAAAGAAATGACTTCATTTTCATAAAAGTAGTTTTAGTCGTTTTAAATTTTAAGAGTGTGGCTCATTAGGCTAAGTAATCGATATTCTGAGCATCTTCTCGCATTGTGTTTTTAGGTATTGGACAAAGATGAATTTAAGCCAGCCTGAGGGAATTATTGGTCCTTTTTTTTGAGGGCACAGTTGATGGTGAGGTTTATCTAGATTTTTTGATTAACTTTTTAGTGCATACATTACGAAGATTTTTTCCTAATGTTAATCATCCAAACGAGATAAATAAATATATTTACTACTAACGAGGTTTTTCCCAATAGGTGGATTGGATGACCGAAATGTGGTGGAACGAATGGCCAGCTAGATCCCCGATTTGATTCCTCTAGAATACTACTTCGTATGGGGTTATTTAAAATCTGAAGTCTATTTTAACAGACCAAACAGAATTGCTGATATAAAAGTTAGGTTAACGGAAGAAATTAACAAAATAACCCCCGAGGTCGTACAAAATGTTGTACGAGAAACGCAAAATCATCTCGTTTATTGTCAAGAAGTGAATATTGGTCATTTTGAACATTTAATTTAATTGTAAAGTACATTGAAAAATACATATTATATATTATGTGACATTATTATCGTCATTTAACCTAAAGTTTTGTGATAGAGACATTATCAAAATTTTACATCTTAAAAAACACTTTTCTCAGTTATGATTGCACCAAACTTATAAAACTTTATATTGCTGAACAGAGGACTAAAATCCCTTTCTAACAAGGTGTCACATGACCCCTTTGTTATTTAAAATTTTCGAGGGGTGCTTATAATTCAAAGGGGGTGCTGAAGGGGGATAATATTTTTATACCATAAATTGTCAATTTAAGAATAAAAATCGAACTGTTTCAGGTTTTTTTCACATAGTACATAATAACGCTAAAAATGAATTTATTCCATACATATGGACCGCATGGTATAATCATAAGTTGAAGTTTTGTTTTGAAATAGTGACGATAAATGTATCTAAAAAGTGTACAAATTTTAACATTGTGACGTACCACATTTATGAAAGTAAAGTTTTTATTATATCATAACTCATTAAGCAACTTAATTTCTATAGAAAAATGGGAAAATCACTATAAAAATTTACTCCAAGAGTCCAGATTGGAATATATGGGAGAAGAATACAGTATGGAGAGACAAAACAAATAGTAACATTAGTACTACCAGTAACGAGGTCCGTACTGCGCTAATTAAAATGAAAAACTGTAGAGTTTTTCATTGAAAAAATGTAAAATGAAATATAGCTGTAGAGTTACTTAAAGCAGGAGGTCCACTCCTAATCGAACGAATAACTTTTCTAATGAATCAATGCTGCCAACAAATTAAAATACCATCTGAATGGAAAACCGCTCACCAAGTGTCCATCTTTAAAAAGGGTAATCGAAAAGATCCTAACTGCTACAGAGGATTGAGTGTCCTACCTACTTTCGGCAGATTGTTTGGAAAGATAATAAATAGAAAAATTCAAGTTGATTTAGGACATCTAATTAGCGAAGACCAAAGCGGATTTACGCCTGGTAGATCTTGCACTGATAACTTGTTAATACTCCAACAATTAATAGAAAAAAGAATAGCGGTTGGTAACGAAGTACATCTAGCCTTCATCGATCTAGAAAAAGCGTATGATACAGTACCAAGGCCTAAATTGTGGCAAGCTTTACAACAACTCGGCATTAGTCCACACCTTTTAGGAATAATCACAGAAGTATACAGGGATAACACCACTTACCTAAAAATCGGAAATAGACTATCAGAGCCTATAAAAGTAACTGAAGGACTGAGACAAGGATGCAGTATGTCACCTTTACTGTTTAATTTATATATTGAGGCAGCCCTTCAAAATTGGAAAAACCACTGCCAGGGAATGGGAATCCCAATAGGAAATGACGTACTGTTCTCCCTGAACTTTGCGGATGACCAAGTCGTTCTAGCTCAA